GGCTCTCGGTGGAAATCATTCTCTGCATCTTCCCCATTTGCGCAACACCAGGAGGAGCAATCAATCAGTGGTCGCCTACTTCCATATCCTCTCTGAATAAGTTTTTAGTGGTCGCCTGAGTTTGACGCTTAATTTGGTTGATTCATCTTCGACAGTTACTTCCCGGCGTCGCAGGCAACGTCGAACATAGCGGGAGTAGGGGCAACCGCGAATCCACCTCCGTTTGGCCATTCTCCATACATGTCGCTCGACCGCTTCTTCTTCATTCCAGCTCAAGTGACTCTCCCCTATCCTCTCCGAATCCCTTCCATAAGACTTTGCTGGGTTCCTCTTCGCCTGCCAAACATCACCCCTTCCATTTCAACGTGCTCTCGGCCAAACAGAAGGTTTGTTGCAAACTTTCGATTGTTCAATCTTTCTTTCTTATTCAAGACTACTTATCATATCTTTTCATCTGCATCTTTTAGCCCCCCTATAATATATGGCAGTACTTCAGAAGATTTTCAGCATTTCAAATTTCCTGCCTTCTCCTTCATTTTTGCTAGGGGCATTTTCGTAACTAGGTTGACGTGGCCGGAACTCCTCTTTGTTTCGTGAGATACAAAAATGAGGCAGCGGTTTCCTATCGGTGGAACTCAGTCTCTATAAAATCTCCATTATCGCAATACCAGAAGCAGAGGAACAAGCGGTGGTCCGGCTCTTGGTGGAAATCATTCTCTGCATCTTCCCCATTCGCGCAACACCAGGAGGAGCAATCAATTAGTGGTCGCCTACTTCCATATCCTCTCCGAATCAGTTTTCAGTGGTCGCCCGATGACTCGCACAAAACTACACCACAATAAAACCCCAATTAGAGTCGAAGTTTTTAAACTCTAATCGGGTGCAGGATATGGCAAGTATTTAGATATCAACCCGAGCCGGTCCGTCTATCCCTACTTCCATTGTTGAAATCATTATCTAGCAACAAACCTTTGGTTTAAAAGGTTTGCTAATTGAAATAAAAGAAAGCAAATGTGATTGGGTTTGAAAACTCTTTTGTGGGAAAGTCACTCCGGTGTCGCTTCCTCCTAACCGCTACCATGCTATGTGGATTGGAACGATTGCCTTGGACACGTTAATCGTGAACCACAGAGGAATGCATATGTGGTCGAAGACCACAATCTCAATTGCTAAACCGAGGTGAGGATGAAAGGTCGTGTCACTCGATCCTCTCGGTTTAGACAATCGGTAATTGACTTACTCGCTCACTCAACTCTAAGGTCGGACGGTTTAATCACGATTAATCGACTTGCTTAACTCAATATTGAGGGTTTTCCTAACTCAACCTAGTTTAGGTGGCTTAGAAAGCGGAAGGAAAACCAACTCGATTGAGTCTCACTTGAAAGGGGGATTTTCCTCTCTAAACTAGGCTAAGGTGGCAAATTAGATTACTAGCACCTAAATGCACAAACTAGGGGGTGCTAAGCACAATTATGCACGATCCCTAGGTTGCTAGACACCTAAATGCACAAACCTAAGGATGCTAAGCACAAAACATGCACAACCCCTAAGTTGCTAAGCACAAACATGCACAATTATGGTGAATAATGCATCAATCATTGAATTGAACAATACCCAATGACAATCATCCAAAACACATACAAGAAAACTAAATAGTAGAGTTAGGGTTTCACTACATCCAAGTGAAAGGAGGTCTACTCCATGCTAGAAGTGGGAAGAACAAAAGGGGAAATAGTGAAAACCATCTTTGAGGATGCTCCCTCTCTTCTTGACCCTTGAGTTGAGCTTTCCTTGGGGGAAATCTTCCCAAATTCTGCCTTGAAGCCAAACCCTAACCTTCCTCTTCCCTTTGGTTCTGTTTCTCTCACTAGAATGTTGAAGAAAGTGTTTCACACAAAAGTGCGCTCTCCCCTCTCTCCTCCTTTCACCCATGGTTCAGGAAACCGTACCGGACATCATACCAGATTCTTTTCTGGTAGGGTATTTTATGGTACGACTGTGTTTCAACTGTTTCCTACCGGTATATATCGTTTTTATAATAGTAAAATATTTTTTTTGTCTAAAAACCGTGTCGGCCAAATCAGTGTACCGTGTCGGAGTAATACCGGATTGTACCGGAATATTACCGGATAATAAATACTATATATTAATTATGAAACTTACCAAATAATTAAAAAATACCCATCCGTCTCTTTCTTGACAAATACCGCAACTAGTACTAGGCCACCACATACTTCTTATCCATATGCCTTATTCAGTTATTTGTTATTTCAGAATGGAATAATCTTTCCGGTTCCGACGCATGCGCCTTCCTCTCCTAACAATGACAATCCACCAAATCCTTCTTTCTCTACTTCCAAATTCCAATTGCTTGTTGACTACACATTCAGCTTTTGGATTCCTCTCCCCTTTCCTATCTGGTTTTTTTTCTTGTTCTTTTACTTTAGTTCAAGAGTGAGAGGATCGATCAAGAAGGAGAAAAAGAGGCCTCACATCAATCATTCAATCGCTGCAAGAACTCTCCCGCAGCAGCTGCCTACTCACTCAGATCCAGTTAAAGAATCCAAAATCGCGTTAATCTTTAGCGGCGATGAGAAGCTCTTTTCTTTGGTTTCCTCAAAGTCGCATCTAGCCTGGTCTTATCCTATAATTTTCCGACCCTTTTGAATGGTGAATGCGAGGTCGGGCTCGGCTGGGTGAGGCGATCGACGGCGGGGGAACGCGAATGACGGCTGATCTTTAACCAAATCGCGGCCGCATCTCAAGAATTTGGTAAACCGTCAGTATCATCAAAACCGGCCGAGATATCACGGTACTCCGTTTGACTTCCAAAACCGGCCGGCAGACTCCTGCCGCGACATTTGCTGTACCGTTTCGTCACTGGCCCAGTTTCCGGTTTTACCGACTGGTACGATCCGGTTTCCTAGACCATTCTTTCACCTCATATTTTAAACCCTAGAAGAGCTGAGTTCACGGACGTGAACCATCAAACTCGTTCGTGAACTCAAGGCATACGCCAAAACGCTCCGCATCGCTCACGTCTGTTCACGGTCAATTGCATGTGTTCACAGTCTTAGTGACCGTGAACTCACCTTGCGTCAGTAACCTTCACATTGGCTCTGGACGCCTCGCGATTCACGGTCAAGTCCCCTTCTTCACGGTCTTGCATGACCGTGAACTCCTTCAGTTAGCCGTGAACTGGCTCATTTTCACCTCTTCTCCCGGTTTTCATTCCTTTTCGCCAATCTTTCGACTCCGAGGCTGGTTTCACCTATTCAATCCCGAAACACACTCAAACACGAAGAACCTAACGTAAAACCAACCTTTAAGGAGCGAATTTGGCACAAACATCTAAGTAAGACGGGGCAAAACATGTGCAATTAGGCCCGAATCACTCCCCCACACTTAGACGTTTGCTTGTCCCCAAGCAAACCATTTCACGCACACGGTAGTATTTCAACATACACAAATACTTTGGGGACAACTCAAAGGGCACGAAGCGGGAATTCTCGATGGTTATTGACAATCAACACATGAACCGTTGCAAACAATACCGACATCCACCACAAACGACATTCAAAGCCACCAAAATGGGTAAACGAAAAGTTCTCAACTTATTCATGGATAAATGCAAGTCTCAACAAAACCACTTATCGACCACAACCAACCATGCATGGAATTCAAGTTCGAGGAACAAATGGAAAGACAACGAAGGTCCTCACCGGGGTATGAAATGGTAAGTTAAACAAGAATGAATCACTCACTCTTAAGACCAGTTGGGTCGGGACCTTTTTGGTGCAAAAGATGTGCACAATCATAACATCTCGGCCCTATCGTCTCAATACTACGACGGTAACCTATAAACGCTAGAGTTCACGGGATGGTTGTCACCACTAGCTCGTCCGGAGGTCTTAGAGAATTGATCTACGGGGATTCACTTGAATTAATTTACTACTAATTCAATCGAATGCAAAAATATATCAGAAAGGTCTTGAAATGACCATCATATTTACACAAACACAGAAACAAACATCTCAAGAAAGAAAGACATCAAAGCACCCTAAAGCTAGCAAGAAGCAGACAATGAGTAGGGGTGAAAGAACGAGAAATAGGTATTTGGGTATACCCATACCCATCCCTTTTTTTAGGGTTACGGATACTCAAATATCCGTTTTATTTATTGCGGGATGAGATTTGGGATTATAAATTTCAACTTCGAGTACCCGTGGGTTACCCGCTAATACCGTTTGGATAATATAAGTACCTGATATACGCAATACACATTAACCCAAATATGATTTCTGAAATCAATTTCCAATCATCCCACCCTAACTACCAGCCTGAGCCCAGCCTGGCAGCCCGAGCACAGTCGACCTTGGCTAGTTTAGGGGACCAGGCGTCCAGGCCCATCTCCTCTCTGACCTGGCCTAGTTGCCTGGCCTCTCACCTCTCCCTCACTCGGCGGAGACTACTCGTGAGTCCAGGCCCATCTTCTCTCCTCTCTAATTGTCCCACTAATGCTGCCGAATGGACTTATGGACACAGCAGGTGTAATTTTCTTCCAACTTCATTTTCATTTTCAAGGAGGATGGGGCAGTAGCTACATTATTTAATTATTATGTCATTTTCTTCCAGGTATAATTTTGTTATTTGTTCCTTGTAAAATTTTGTAATTGTTACCATGCAAAACGGATATAAACAATTAATTTGGGTATCCGTGATCCGTCTCGTACGGGTACTCGTTAACCCGTAGGGGTTTGGGAAATGGAATGAACTTTGCTCTCCAAGTGAGATTGAGTACCGGTTTCAAACGGAACGCGTACCCAATCCCGTCGCGTTTTCCACCCCTAACAATGAGTCATACTTGGGGCTGACCATGAGTCCGCCATCCTGCCAAAACAAACTTCCTGCTCCTCTTAGCTAAGGTCGCAAGATCACCATACTACCATAGAAGGAAATGAGGCGAGCTTTCAACTTTCAATAACTAAGAACTAAAACATCACAGATACACAACTGCTATAATCTAGCAACAACAATACCGAATTTGACCTACCATTGTCAAGACACGCTCTCTCTTCGTCGACTTAGACCAGTGCAGGACCTTCAGGCGACATACATATTGCCCTTCGTTTCCCTAAGAAAGAAACAGTGGAACACATAAATAAAAATACGTTACAATTTGGTGCATACATTAAATACAATAGGATCAAACATCAAACTAAGGACAAGATGAGCATACAACATCAACCAGTAATAAAGTAGGAATTAGATGGAGGATCTTTGCTAGAAGAAGTGTCGTTATTGCATTCATTGCTCGGCCAATTACAATATTTTCCGGTGAAGTATGATCTTACAAAAATCACTGAATAAACCTCAAGCATTTGACAACCACATTTTTACCATGGCGGCGAAGGCAGGTAGGAGTTGGAGATTTTGTATAAACTCAGAAAGAAAGAGATTTTGTATAAAAGGAAATATAAACTCGGAAAGGACCGGAGGCGGCGAAGGCAGGTAGGAGTTGGATATTTTGGGCGGCAATAATTGACGGCACGACAGTTGGGTTTGAAGGCGTCAGTGCAGTTAAGGGGATTGAAGGCAGAGCTAGAGAGAAAAGAGGTAAACTTGAAAAGAAAGAGATAACGATGGAATGCGCAAACGGGTGAGGCAGATGAATAAGGTAAAGACGAACCGAAAATTGAAGCTCGGACAAAACGAAGGGGAACTCATGCTTTGGACTCCCCTTCTCACACGGGCTAGAAGCAGTTCCGCATAGAGGAAGGCCCAATTCGGATTCTATACAGTAGTTGGGGATTGCAGATAGCGGGTTGGGAAAAGGTAGTAGCTGGGAAGGCGGCAACAAAGTCGATAATGGGGAATTGGCGAAGGGTAGAGGACGTTTCCGATGCTCTATTGAGCTGTTATTATTCTTCTACAACAACTACCCGACGGGATAAATGAAGACGAAGATGTGCGAAGGTGGGTCCGGGGGAAGCAGAGGAAGGCGAAGTAGGGGTTAACAGGCTATGGATTAGGGATTTGCTCCGCTCTTCTCCTGCGCAGCGCAGCTAGGCTTCGCGAAGAACTGCTGGCGGGATTGGTGAAAAGTACGACTGGGTCGGGGAAGCACTAAAAACCCAAATGAGGGAAGGAAGTTTGGGCCTTGGCCCGTTGGCGTGCGGCAGCATGGTCTTTCGTCCAAGGAGAAAACGCTGCGCATGACTTAATGAAATCCAGGAAAAATGACCATATCACCCTTCTGAAAATTAATCCCTTATCAGCAAATTCAAAATGGAGAAAATGAAATCCATGAATCTGCTTTAAATATACTAGTGTGGGCCCCGGCCAGTTGGCCGGAGGAAGGTTAGGTAGGAAATTTGATAATGTAATGGGGTGTATAGCTTATTGTTATATAGTTTTTTTTGGGAAACACATGATAAAAATAGTGAATTTTAGCTGGAAAGAGACATAAATGATGCAATGAATCAAAAATCGGCCTTATGAACCAAAACCAAGTACATGTTACCTTGTGAAACAATATTGTTTCTGGTAATATAATGAGGTGGAGTAAGTTTTATAGAAACCGAATTCCAGAAAATTGAATAAAAATCGCCTATCTCGTCGGTTTTCGGGAAATGAGCATCTCACAATCGTTGCTAGCTTTTACTCGGCCCGTTGGTCGATTAATTTGCTTTATAAGACCTTCATCTTGTCGTCATTGTGCTTTATGATTTTTGTTAGGCCATGATAAAATCTAAGACCTTCATCTTGTCGTCATTGTGCTTTATGATTTTTGTTAGGCCATGATAAAATCTAAGACCTTCATCTTGTCGTCATTGTGCTTTATGGTTTTTGTTAGGCCATGATAAAATCTAAGGAAATCAAGAACGAACAACACGATTTGGGATAGGAACCGTCGTTGTCGTATCCTTAGAAAATGGTGGTAAACACGGACTCACCTGCCAAACTGGTTTGGATTGAGATTTTTATCGGGTATCAGGGAACCATGTGATTATAAATTAGACTTGAGCAAAAGGGGCCAAAACTTGAAATTTAGCCTGTTTGACCGACCCATGCCAAATTCTAATTATTCTTTACTTTTAAACTTTCTATCTGAAAATAAAAATAGTGAAAGAAAAGAGATGACTGCAATTCGCCATTTGCACATCACTTATTCGGGAATAAAACCATAAAAATTCAAAAAGAACTGAAAATGTTTAGGATCGTTTTAATGTTTAAAATAACCAAATAGATCGTTCTGTTTAGTTTTTTTACTAACAAATACCAAACGATTCCCTATAAAATAACTATAATTTGATCATTATGATATCAAATAATTATATAATATATATTTGAAATGATAAAAATTGGACTAATTGTGGTCGATGTTGAACCATTGAATAACTTTAAAACACATTATATTTTAGCCACTAAGATATAAAATAATAGCATAATATATATTATGTCAGAGAAAATAGCTTGTTTTAGAATGACAAACCAATGATGTTCAATTGTTTTACTTGATGGCCAAATCCCGTGTAGGTCAGACCCATTGAACTCTTTTATTTTATGGTTAGCGGTTAGCCCATTAGATACCATGCATTAGTTTATTGTTAAATTTTTTTTTAGCAATAAAAAGGAGTATTATTTTTGCCTTTTCATATATATTTTATCACCACGGAGAAATAAAAGCGCTTAAAGAAAAAAAATTGACACTCTTGTACCCGTTTAAATTCGCATGTGTACGGTAAGTTGGCCCATTCCACAGAGGAAAAAGAACAAAATGGACACTCCCTATTCTACCCTTCCTACAAACGCTCCTGGAGCAGGGAATTTGAAATGGGGGAAGGGTTTTTTCCTCCCTGCTATTATATGTTTTTAATTTAAAAATATACAACAAAAGTACTTAGTGTGATTGGTTATGATCCTTGCTTTCCTTTGAAATGGTCATGGTTCGAATCCCAGTACGTGTCTTTTTAATGAATAAAAAAAAGTAATTGTGAAGACCAAAATATCCTTTCTACTTTCACTCTCGTTGCAGGAAATTTGAAATGAGGCTCCCGTTTTTCCCTTCGGTGTATTATATAGATTAGTTTTTACCTGACTCGTTGGTCGGATGAATTCTTTTTTTCTTTCTTTCTATTTTTTACCCAGCCCGTTCTGCCGGATTATTTTAGACTTATCGAGTCGTGGAGTGAAAGTGAGAGTAAGAGAATCTCTATTTTCATATACTTATATATTTAAAATGTTAATAGACATTTAATATTCAGTAGTTTAATTAAAAAATTATTAGATATATTATCAAATTTTAGACAAAATATTACAACACCTTCTATTGTTTTATTTATATATATATCCATACCAAGAAGGAAGTAACATAAGTTTAATAGGTCATTCAAATGATTTGTTACCAATTTTATCCATCATATAACCTAAGTTTTTTTTTTAAACTTTATTTATCAAAGAAAAGAAATTGTACATATCCCTTTCTCACTCCAACACAAGTTTTCCCCAAATAGCACCTCATCCACAAGATATTACCGTTTCTCCTCATCTTCCCATTTTCCTAGCGATTGTTCGTCAACCCTTCATCCCTTCCCTTAAAAAGCCTATCATCTTCAGAGTTCTTATCAAATTATCTTACTCGTCAAACAATATGTAGATCACTGGTCAACTCAATAATCTCATCGAATTTATCTCTTTCAATCTAGTCCTGAGTTCTTATCAAGTTGACAGGTTAAGTTCACAATGTCTATAAAGAGTCTAGATTATACAAAGTCGTAGTCCATCTTTGGTGATTAGCATTATCACCCACTGATTGATTTGAACCATGCAGAAACCTTATGCCGTGGTCAATTATTTTCCACTTTTACTCTCATTCACCATGTCCATATGCAGGGGCGGGCGGGGGTAATCAAACCACATTCTTCCTGTCCTTTGAAAAGCCGCGCGATAGTTTTTTGCTCCGACAATCTCGGCGTGAGAAAAATTCCAAGTTTCCGTGCGTGAGTGCTAGGGCTTTTGGATGACGGCGGCGGCAACGCCGTCCGGGACGCCGGACGTGGCTATGAAGCCTCCAGATCCACAGGGAGGCATCCGGCGACCTGCGGAGGTCTCCTCGTCCCCGAACAGCAAGCGAGACAAGGAAACTGTCTAACCAAAGAAGAAAGTCCGCGACCTTAATCTGGATGCTGAGGATGGTGAGATGGAAGACATAACAACGGAGGAGACGATGAAGGAAGCTGAACCGGTCTCACTGAAACATGGAGAGTGGTCGGAGGGGCAGGGCGTTTGGTCTGATGGTTCGCGTAAACGTTTCAGTGAGATACTGAAGGAGGATAACTGGTACGTTGAGGATTCAGACTCCGAAGACGTGGCACAGGCAGAGAAGGAGGAGGATGAAGACACTAATGAGATGGAGAATGACCCGTTGTGCCCAACTGTCCCGCTCACGGCGGCTGAAAAGATTCGATGGAGAAGGGAGTGGCGATCCGCCCTCGTAGTTCAGGGCCTCGGCAGAAGAGTATCTTTTCTCCCGCTTTCTCGCAGATTGAACTTCCTGTGGGCTAAACATGGAGATTTACAGATATCAGATATGAAGAATGGGTGTTTCCTCGTACGGTTCCGATGTAAAGAAGATTATGAAATTGCGGTAAATGGCGGACCATGGCTGTTGGGGGATACCTATCTGACAGTGATGAGATGGTATAAGGGATTTAACCCGTGGAAATCACAAGTCTCGTCCACCCTGGTGTGGGTACAACTCCCAGACCTGCCGATAGAGTTTATAAATAAGGAGGCGGCAATGAAGATTGGATCGCTCATTGGAAAAGCAATACGGGTGGATCGTGCTACGGAATTGGGAGCGAGGGGAAAGTTTGCGCGTGTGTGTGTGGAAGTTGATCTAACAAGACCCCTACTAGGGCGATACAAGGTAGAAGGAATCGAGTATCTCATACAATATGAGGGTCTTGAGAACATTTGTACCGACTATGGACAATATGGCAAATCAACGCTGAAATGCTCGTGCAAGGACCCCGTGGTGGTGGTCGAAACTGTGGAGGAGGTTCCGGAAACGCAGGAGGAGGAAAGTTCACGTGGCCCGAATTATGGTGATTGGATGATGGTTAAAAAAAAGGGAAGGTACCAATCGAAGCAACCACTGTATAAGGAAGGGCGGGGTGACAAAGCTCAGTTCGTGCCAAAGCAGGGAAGTGAGTCCAACCGATTTGCAGTGTTTAAGGAAGACACAACAAATGAAACACAACACGAAGATTCTGAGACAGACATGAGGAAGGGCGGAACAAAAGGAACTGAAAAGGATGGAAAAAAGTGGACATGCCCAAGAGACAGAGAAAATGACGAGGGATGCTTGTAAAATGAATAAGACAAAGGAGTCAAGGGTGGAGAAAGGAAATATTAATCTTACAAAGGCTACGGATCAAGCCGGCGCAAACCATTTTGAGACCAATCCGATGGATAAGGCAGCGCCGGATAAGAAGGCAGGAAGCAAAGGAACTGAAGCAAAACAAACTAAACCAAAGGGGAAAGGAGGAGAGAAGTCAATATCGTCAATGAAAGGCGCGGGGAGCCCATCCCCTTCCGGTAATAGATGAGACTTCTTAGCTATAACTGCCGCAGATTGGGAAGCAAGCGGGCAGTTAAAGCTATGAAGTCGCTCCTGCGACAAACTTCCCCTCAAGTGGTTTTCTTAATGGAAACTAAACAAACTGAAAAAGAGAATGAAGAGACAAGGAAAGAGCTGGGGTTTGCGAAAGGAGAGTGTTGGCCAACGAATTCAAGTGGGGGTGGTCGAGCTGGTGGCCTGTGTATTTGGTGGACGGAGGACGTTGAGTTGACAGTAATGCATGCGGAGACTCACTGCATGGATACAAAGATTAAGGACGTGGGAGGGTTGACTTGGAGATTCACGGGGATCTATGGCTGGCCGGAGAAAAGTGATAAGGTAAACACTTGGAACATGATACGTGCTCTGGCGGATCAGTGGATGGACCTTGGTTGTGTGGTGGGGATTTTAACGAGATTCTAGCGGGAGAAGAGAAGAGGGGTGGTCAACTCCGTGACGAGAATGAGATAAGGGCGTTCCATGACTGTCTGCTCGATTCGAACCTTAGAGATGTGGGTTATGAAGGTTATGACTTTACCTGGGAGAATAGAAGACGGGTCGGGGGGTACATCGAGGAGCGCCTCGATCGTTTTGTAGCCTCGGACAAGCTGATGAGCGAGTTTCCAAACTTACGGGTACAACATATGGATAGAACTAGATCGGATCATAGACCGGTGATTTGCGATACGGAAGGTGAAGAGGATGAGGAACCCAGATGGGGTTGGAGTTTCCGGTTTGACCCGTTTTGGGTCAAACATGAAGAAAGTGCAAAGATTGTCGTTGAGGCATGGACTGATCCGTCGGCTGGGGGAGTAATGGCCAAGATTCAAAATTGTCGAGAGGTGCTGGAAGAGTGGAGTACCTGTACTTTCCCAAATTTTGGAAGACAGAAGAAGAAGATATGGAAAGCCTTGAGAAAACTTGAAAAGCTTCAAGTAACCCCGCACACCCAAGAGCTAAGATGGAAGTTAGAAGAGGAATTGGCTACCCTTGAAGCTGACGAGGAGAATTATTGGAAACAAAGGTCGCGAGCGGATTGGCTAAAGGACGGAGATAAAAATACAAACTATTTCCACAACAAAGCTACTGCCCGCCGGAGGAGGAATACCATACGAAAACTAAAAGATGCTAACGGGAAGTGGTATGTGGAGACCGATCAACTGTTCGATTGCTTCACTCATTACTTTGGTATGTTATTCTTGGCAGGAGAGCAACCCCAGGGGTCGCCAGTACTTGACTCCATTAGATGCTCAGTAAATGCGGAGGACAACGAAAGCCTTGTGCGAGCAGTGGACAGGGAGGATGTGGTGATGGCCTTGAAACAAATGGGAAGAAGAAAGGCGCCAGGTTCGGATGGGATATCAGTGGCTTTTTTCCGAGCTTATTGGGACACGATGGGGGATGAAGTATGTATGGCGGTGAAGAATATTATAGAAAATGCAGAAATGCCACCGGAGCTGAATCACACTCTCCTAGATCTAATTCCGAAAGTGAAGAAACCAACTAGCCCGAATGAATTCCGGCCTATCAGTCTGTGTAATGTACTATATAAGTTGGTAGCCAAAGTCCTAGCAAACAGATTAAAGAGGGTGCTGGACAAGGTGATATCTCCGGAGCAAAATGCTTTTGTCCCAGGCAGATTTATCTCAGATAACATCATGGCGGCTTTCGAGTGTTTTCACTCGATGAAGAATAAAGGTAAAAAGGGAACGGGTTTTCTCGCAGCCAAAACGGATATGGCCAAAGCTTATGACAGGGTGGAGTGGCACTTCCTGGAAGGTGTCATGCGGAAAATGGGCTTTGACGAGAGGTGGATCCGGGTGATCATGTTGTGTGTTCATACGGTCACCTTCTCGGTTCTGGTGAATGGCCACCAATCACCCCGTTTCCAGCCTAGTCGTGGTTTACGGCAGGAAGACCCTTTATCACCATATCTTTTTCTTATCTGTGTAGAGGGTCTCTCAGCGTATACTGCGAAAGCAGTACTTGAGAAGTGATAGACCGATAATTACACATGTTTTCACCCCTATTATGAAGCCGTTTGAGATGTTGATTCTCGTGTTTTAAGCCGATTTCACGCTAGGTTGTGTGTTTATGTCATATTTCAGGACCCGGCGTTGGAATCGAGGCGGAGAAACGAGTTCTGGGTCGAAAGGAGCATGGTTGGGACGAAGTGGGTTGCAGGAGGAAAATACCCGGTCAGGTGGCCAAATACCCGACCGGGTATTTATCATTTTGGGCGCCCGTGAGAAATAGAGAGGGGCCCGGCGTGAAGCTAAAATCCCCGGTCGGGGATTATTGGACATGACCGGGGATTTTTCCCTTACCCAAAACGCGTGTTTTAATAATACCCGGTCGAGACCCAAAATACCCGACCGGGTATCGCGACAGATAGCAGTTTTAAGGGAAAAGAGGGCTGCAAATCAAAGGTTCCGAGTTTTAGAGAGACAGAGCGATTCCTAGAGAGAGAAAGCGACGAACCAGAGTTCCCAAGTGCCATAGCTTGATCTTCATCACCATTGGAGCCCGGCTTGAGCTTGGAGAAGTGCCGATTGTCAACCAGGAGCAGAAATCCATCCTTCACAGTATGATTTCCGCGTCTGAATCTGTTTTTACTTCTCTCTCCATGGAGTAGTTTCCCCATTCATCTGGGTATGGGGAACCCTAGATTTGTATGTTAGGTTTGATTGTATGAACCCAAGTACAGAGTTTATGAATTGATTATATTCGATTGAGGCTTGAATGATTGAATGACTTGAATCCTGATCAAATTCCTGTTGTTTCTGCTTTGACCTAGAATGAGATTATCTGCCTAGGTTGATAGAGTATCCTTAATTGAAGGTAGTGAATTGGCGACTTTAGTCGAGGAGCCAATTCGCTATTCTGTACCGAATTCAATTCGGTTGTGGAGGTTTAATTCGTTAGGGCATCAATCTGTTTACTCCGGTGGAGGTTAGTCGCCCGCTAGAGACTCAAATTGAGAGGGTCTGAAGACCTTTAGTGGAGACTTCAGACTGTTTAAGAACCTTCCGCAGTATAATTTTCATGAAAACTGAACTTGGTAAATTGCAATCCGGCTTAACTGCAGTGTAGGGGAACCATATCCGGGTGACCTCTCTTGACCTGGAAACAACCGTTTACTTGCTTTGATTGTTTGTTAATTTGGACTTGCACTAAAGTTTCACTGCTAGATAACAAGAATTCACCGAGTAGTCATCAAATCTAGGACCCGGCTTGACATTAAAACCCAAACCCGCTATACTACGCTTTAGGAAGTGGTTACACTTGGCCATTTTCTAGAGTGACAGTAGGAGTGAGTCAATTTTTTGGCGCCGTTGCCGGGGACGGCTAGGTTGTTGAAGAAAAGTGATTTCTGTTACTTTAGCATTTTCATTTTCGCATTGAGTGTTTGTTCTTTCCCACTTGTGCCTTCACGAGTTTGCATTGTTCGATTGTGTGCAGATAGTGCATGACCCGTAGCCAGTCGGGAGGTTTACTGCCGTTGGATCCAGAGATTGAACGCACCTGCCACCAACTTCGGAGACAACAGCGAGCTAGACTGGCTACGGTGGAGCGCATAGACGGCCATTTGAGCAGCGAGTCCGAGGACGAGTACGAGATGGAAGGCGATCACAATCCACCTCCGGTGAATCAGCTCTTGGGGAACGACCCCAATCCCCAGGGAGATGGGGTTCATCATCATCCACCACCACCGGGTCCCACCTTGGAGTACTACTACACTCCACGGATTGCTGACATCCGCCCGGTCATCCTCTATCCGCCCATTCCAGCAAACAACTTCGAGATCAAGCCATGTTGGATTCAACTCATTACCTCCTCCATCCAGTTCCATGGCTTGAAGGACGAGGAGGCAAGGGTGCACCTTTCCCGTTTTCTGCAGCTGACGAACGGGTTCAAGCTGAACGGTGTCCCGGATGACGCAATCCGCCTTCACCTCTTCCCCCATTCTCTGGCGGGGAATGCTAAGAGGTGTTTGGAGACCCAGCCCCCATTGTCCATCACTTCTTGGGACGATCTGGCAGACAAGTTCGTGCACAGGTACTATCCGGCATCGAAGACCACAGAGATTCAGCGGGAGATCACTCACTTCCGCCAAGAGCCAGACGAGTCACTTCGTGATGCATGGGAGCGGTACATGGGATATTTCTGGCAGTGTCCCCATCATGGATTCAGTGATGCATTCACAGTGGGGAACTTCTACAGTGCTCTCTCCCCGGACAGCCAGAGGGTGATTGAGTCTCTATGCCCAGAAGGGGATATTCTCACTATGACTCCACCCGAGCTGAACCAGATGATCAGTACCCTGGCTGCCCGAGATCATTCCTGGGGGCAGAGCAGCAGAGGCAGAAATTCCCGGGACCGTGGTGTGCACGCTATGGAGGCCAGGTCCGGGTTAGAGCAGTAGGTGGTTGAGTTGGTGCAGACATTGAAGCAGCCCAACAGTCTTATTCCGGGCCGAGGTGCAGCTACGCCTCCAGTAGCTCAGTGTCAGTGGTGTGAGAGCCCGAATCATCTGGTGGAGGACTGTCAGGCTATGAGGGAGTCCTCTACTCCCCAAGAACAAGTGGATTTCATTGTCAATGCTCGGCGCCTTGACCCATATAGCAGTACATACAATGAGGGGTGGCGCCAGCATCCCAACTTTGCCTGGAACAGCAACACCACTAAACCACCTGGTTTCCCAGCACCAGCAGGTGGTTTTCAGCAGATGCAGCCCTTCCAGGCTAGGC